TTCTTGGTGGTTTGAAACACGAATTGAACATTGCAGTGAAAATCACACATCCCACCACCTTATCACAAGTCTATAAGAATGCCAGAATGCAAGAAGCTTATCTTGCTGCTATAAGACAACCGTCACCTATGACAAATTCACTGATAAACTCCTCCAGAAGAAGTGCAGACCAAATATCTTGCTGCTATAGGACAACCTTCACCTATGACAAATTTACTGATAAACTCCTCCAGAAGAAGTGCAGACCAAAGGAACAACAGTAGGCCCTTGTTACCAACTCCCAGCTATGGTAACTCTACAGGTTCTAGGGATTTAATAGGATGACATTGAGTTTGGGGGAAATGAATGAAAAAAGAGTTAAGGGTCTCTGCTACTTCTGTAATGAGAAGTATGTAGTTGGCCACAAATGCAAGAATCTGAAACAATTATGCCTACTTGAATTAGAAGAGTATGAGGGAGAGAAATTACCAGAAGAGGAAATGGTGGATGAACTAGAGGAACAAGGGTTGGAAATAAGTCAACCATGGGAGCATGTAGAGATCTCCATCTATGTCTTAATGGATCTCTCGAGTACAGAACTTTAAAAGTAACTGGTTACCATTCCAAGAAATCACTAAATATACTAGTGGACACTGGCAGTTCTCATAATCTCATTGATCTAGAGTTAGTGGAAAAATTAAGGTGCCCTATTAAATCCACTACTCCCCAATTGGTAGCTACAACAAATGGTAACATGATAAGAGTTGATAAGGTGTGCAAACTCTCCTAGCTGTTGCAAGGGGTTGAGTTTTCTACTGAGTTTTTACTGCTACCACTAGGCTCTTGTGGTATGGTAGTGGAGGTCTAATGGTTGTTGACATTAGGAGATATCAAAATGAATTTTAGAACACTTACCATGGAGTTTTATTACAAGGGAAGGAAGCACGTACTCAGGGGAGCAGGAAAGCAAATTTTGACTCCTGGAGTTGGAAAACTAACCAGAATCTCAGGTAACCAATCCCAACTTTGTATGATCCAAGTGGTATCTGCTATGTGCATTACATTACAATGGTATTCTCTAGAATCTAAAATAGGGGTTGCACAAGATCCTAGACTCTTACAATTGCTACATGAGTTTAATGATCCATTTAATGAACCTACACAATTACCCCTTCTAGAGGACTGTTTGATCACAGAATCATATTGCAAACTGGCACTGAACCAATAAACAAAAGACCTTACAAATATCCAACAATCAAGAAGGACATTATTGAGTCATTGTTCAGTAAATTTTGGATCAAGATATCATTCAACCTAGTTGCAGTCCATTTGCTGCACCTGTAGTTCTAGTTGGAAAAAAGGATGGCACATGGAAGCTATGTGTTGATTAAAGAGACTTAAATAAACAGACTGTGAAGAATAAACTTTCTATTCCAGTCGTAGAAGACCTGTTGGATGAGTTGGAGGGTCTAAGGTATTTTCAAAAATACATCTAAAGTCTGGTTACCACCGAGTGAGAATGACCACTAAAGATGTGCCAAAAACAGCCTTTAGAACTAATGCTGGTCACTATGAATATCTGGTAACGCCCTTTGATTTATCAAATGTTCCTGCAACTTTTCAACGTCTGATGAACTCAGTTTTTCAGGTCTTCCTTAGAAAATTTGTGCTGGTTTTCCTTGATGACATACTGATCTATAGTAAAGATATAAAAGACCATTTGCTGCACTTGAAGGCTGTGTTCAATGAGATGAGGAAACACAAACTATTTGCTAAGCATAGCAAGTGTTTCTTTGGAGTTGAAAGAATAGAATATCTGGGACATTTCATTACTGCTGAGGGAGTCTCAACAGATCCTCAAAAGATAGAATCTGTGAAGAACTGGCTTCTTCCAACTACTATTAAACAATTGAGAGGGTTTTTAGGTCTAGTAGGGTATTACATGAGATTCATCAAAGGATTTGGGGTCATCAGTACCATTAAAATGGTCACCTGCTGCCTCTACAACTTTTGAGCAGTTGAAGTCTGCTCTAACTCAAGCACCAGTTCTAGCATTACGTGATGTTAACAAAACTTTTATGGTAGAAACTTATGCAAGTGGACAAGGAATAAGTGTTGTCCTCATGCAGCAAGGCCACCCTATTGCTTTTATCAACAGATCCCTTTCCCCTAGACATGCTGCTCTCTCAGTTTATGACAGAGAATTTTTAGCTATTGTTCATGCTGTAACAAAGTGGTCACAATACTAGCTTGGCCAGAAGTTCATTATCAGGACTGATCAAAAGGCCCTAAAATTTCTAATGGAACAGAAGCTTCACACCAATTCTCAGTTAATGTGGTTGACAAAGTTGATGCCTTTTGACCATGCCATTGAGTACAACAAGGGAATTGAAAATAAGGTGGCAGATGCCCTCTCTAGAGTGTCTGGAGCTGAGCTATTTTCATTGGTCATCTCCACTACCAGTTCAGAGTTATTACAAGCTATAACTCACAGTTGGGATATAGATCCTGATCTAAAGGCACTCATTGAACAACTGAAGTAGATCCTGCAGCTCATATGTAGTTTGCTTGGCACCACGATAGTTGAGGAGAAAGGGCAAACTAGTGGTTGGTAAAGTGCCCATTGCTTTATGGCACTCTACTCCCCAAGGTGGTCACTCAGGTATGGAGGCAACATTGAAGAGAATCTTAATATTGTTCTACTGGAAAGGCATAAGAGAGGATGTAAAACTCTTTATTCAGAAGTGTGACATTTGTTAAAGGAAAAAGGCTGACTTAGCTGCTTATCCTGGTCTTTTACAACCTCTCCTAATTCCTGAGGTGGTATAGTCCTAAATCAGCATGGACTTCATTGATGGACTACGTAAGTCCAAGGGGTATGAGATGATACTAGTCATAGTAGACATGCTGAGTAAGTATGACCACTTTATTCCTCTTAAACACCCTTATACTGCTCAATCTGTAGCTAAGGTGTTTATGGAAGCCATCTCATACTTCATGGTCTACCAGATTCCACTGCCAGTGATAGGGATACATTGTTCTTAAGTTCTTTTTGGCAGGAGCTACTCCCAATACAAGGAGTCCAGCTACACACCTCCTTAGCTTATCATCCACAAACTGATGGGCAAACTGAGGTTCTAAATAGATGCCTAGAGACATATTTGAGATGCTTCTGTTTTGAGGAGGCTACTGATTGACATTCTTATCTATATATGGTTGAGTATTGGTACAATACTTCATTCCATTTAGCCATAAGAACTACCCCCTATGAGGCCCTTTATGGTAGACCACCTCCTCCGGACTTACCTTATCTGCCTAGTGAATCAGCTTCAGATGATGTAGACAACACTCTGATCAACAGAGAATTGGAACTACAACTGTTGCAACACCATTTGCTGAGAGCTCAGTTAAGGATGAAACAACAGGCTGATTCTCATAGGAGTGGTAGAAACTTTGAAGTAGGTGATTGGGTTTACTTCAAGACTCAACCTAACAGGCAAGTGAGCATTACTATCCAACCATTCCATAAATTGGTTTCTAAATACTATGGACCATTTCAGATTATCAAGAAGGTGGGAGCTGTGGCCTACACTCTCCTATTTCCTCCATCAGTAAAGATACATCCCACTGTGCATGTATCCCTACTAAAGAAATGCTATGAATTGCCCAAACAAATCACTTATCCTCACAATACTGATATTGCCAACCCCCATTGCCCTAATCTAGAGTGTATTTCAGAAAAGAGAATGGTGACAAAGGGAAATAAAGCTGTGGCTCAAGTCCTAGTTAAGTGGACACCTACAGATTATGCTACATGGGAATTTCTTAATGCACTAAAGATCAGGTTCCCTCATTTTGATCCTTGTGGTCAAGGCTTCTGCAGGAGGGAGTATTGATATACAAAATACAACATGATCGCAGCTAGCTCAAGTTTGGAAGCTCTAGCTCAGCAAAATCAGTTAGCATTTACTTGAGTCCAAGTCAGCTAACAGTTAGTGTTAGTTAGGAAGTTAGTTAAAGTTAGTTAGTTAGTTGAGAAATAAGAATGTTCCGGGAGGATTCATGTATTCATTCATAAAAGGATTACATTGTATTATTTTGCAATCATCACTGAAAATACTACTACAATTTCTCTCTCAATTCTCTCTTTCTCTCAATTATAATTTCTTTACTTCATAGTTGTGATTTTCGAGTTTCTCCGCAAAACTCCTAGCTCAGCTGCTCAATTCTCGAATTCACTACTGGATTCCTGCAATTGAGATATCAAAATTTCAGGAATGAAAAAATTGATTAAAATCTTCTTGTATAATAAAACGAATAAAAGTATGCATAAGATCTAGTCTTGCACAGAGAGACTACTGCTTAAAAGTTGATTTTCATTAAGTTTCGTCTGAGAAAGGTTCATTATCTGACTAAGCTTTGGTTGTTAAATTTTTAAGTGTTACTTAGCAACTGGATAAATATCTCGACACTCTCATTTAACTTCAGCAGCCTTATAGACTACAATATTATCGCACTAAATTTATACTTTTTTGGATCGTAAGATATAACTAGAAACTCCAGTATAGCCTTGATTTAAATTAGTTGCTTTGTCAAGTTAGAGACGAATTTGAACACTAACAAACAATTGCATATATTTAGGAATGCTAAATACATAGGTCGATGCTAGTAGGTTAAAAAAGGCCATCATGCAAAAGCTGTGAATTGTTGTTAAGTGATGTTTTCTGTCTCTATCTCTTTCTCTATACAGAGCTTTAATTTACGTACATACCGTCAACAAATGCCCATATAATATGCCCACACGGAGAACGCTGCAAACAAACTAGAGATCCCTTTGTCCTGTCTTCTTTTATATATAATCAACTTTTTCACTTAGCTTTGAGTGCACTATCACTGGCCATCTCAGCTTCCACTTGAGGGTACACACTCTTTTTTGCAACAGCATGTATTAGTATCTTCTTTTTTAATATAGTAATATATAACTTACCAAAAAAAAAAAAAATATAGTAATATATATACTTCTCTGAAATTTTCCTTCATGTTTTTGGTTTATCTCAATGTTGACTGCAGCTTCTGACTCTTATGTTGCAGTCTCTTGAACTTGGTTCGGATTGGAAAATGTCGAAGAGTATGGATGGTTTAGCAGAGAAGTTGTTTGGGAGTTCACTCCTCCACATGCTTAAATCTTTGTTCCGCATTTTATCTGTAGGACCAATTCCAAACCACATCGCCTTTATTTTGGATGGGAATCGGAGGTATGCCAAGAAACAGAATATGGCAGTGAGCAATGGATACAGAGCTGGATTTATGGCTGTCATGTCAATGCTCAAATATTGCTATGTATTAGGTGTCAAATACATGACAATATATGCATTCAGCATCGATAATTTCAAAAGAAGGCCGGAGGAAGTTCAGTACTTGATGGACTTAATGCTGGAGAAAATCGAAGGACTACTCCATAAAGAAAGCGTTGTCAATCAATACGGAGTGAGGGTACATTTCGTAGGAAACCTGAAGCTACTTAGCGAGCCAGTTAGAGTTGCAGCTGAGAAGGCAATGGAAGCCACTGCCAACAACACCAATAGCACTCTCTTAATTTGTGTGGCATATTCTTCGACAGATGAGATCGTGCATGCTGTTCAAGCATCCTGCCATGAGAAATGGAATGAAATCCAAGAACTTAACGCGAACCAACTTCAAAATGTTGAAATAACTAAAGAGATACAGGAGCTAAATCAGATCATAAAGCTGGTAGATATAGAGAGGCATATGTACATGAGATTGGCACCTGATCCTGATATGCTAATTCGAACTTCAGGTGAAACTCGTCTTAGCAATTTCCTTCTCTGGCAAACAACAAGTTGCTTACTGTATTCGCCAAAGGTGTTGTTTCCTGAGATTGGTTTGCGACACTTGATATGGGCAGTCTTGCACTTCCAGCGACAGTACCCTCATTTGGAGAAGAAAAAGCAGTTATAAAAGTAGTGCTATATTCCTCTGTATTTTACCCCCTTTTTTTTTTTTTTTTTTCTCAGATCACTCATTGCCTAATATTTTACCTGCATTATATAGCATTGTTCTCTTCTTAAGATAATCTGTCTAGGTACTTTCTGTTCAAAGTTCTAATAGGTTAACTTGGCTGTTTTCATATTATTGAATTCCAAACAGAAATTTAATGGACCAGAAAGACGCACAAGCTGTCTCGGACACCAACGTTACTACTGAAAATAACTTTGTACTCTGTAATAAATTGATTCACTTGTTCTCAGATAAATAAACATATGGATTATGGACTAAGAATTCGGTCCTTCCATGCTAGTATTGTCATACAAAAATGACTAATAATCTGATCCGATGCTTCAAAAGAATGCAAACTTTAACAAAAGTAGACTTGAATAAACTCCGGACAAGTTGTTGAGCTCAAAGTTTCACCAAGATAAACATCAACGAAAGGAGAATTCTTTTCTTTTTTTCACAACATCAACCTTACTTTTTTTTAAGTATTCTACAAACCTTTTTTTCACACTACATTATGGAAGAAAGAATCCTATTTATAGATGTATAAATTTTCTTCCTTGAATTAAATTGGAAGAAAGTTTGGTAATAAGTTATGGAATTACTAATTAGAGAGAACATCAGATAATGGATGAATTTGTGTGTAATTAGTGGTAGAACATGAAAGAATAGTTACAAGAAAGTTATAGCCATTTTCTATATCATGGAGTAGTGGGGAATTATGTTGAACTTTAAAGATCATAGAGTAATTAAGAAGAGATCATGTCATATTTTATTTAATGTTAAAATGCCAATATTCTAACAGTGATATAGTAGTATATAATTATTTCATAAATTTTCAACTATGTGCAAGTAGTTGGAGTTAAAGACAGTGGAAGACATATTTTATCGTTAAATCTGTAAGCTTTATGTCCAAACCAACACTATGTTTGGTTCAAGGATCAGAAAAGAAAGAATACCGGGATGGGGGAACCATTGATTTCTCATTTCAGTACCCTGTGGGAAGGTTTTATCTCTCTTCCCAAATAGTTTTTGCAACTTCAATAGGGGAATTTTAACAATGAAATGAAAAGGCGAATTGCAAAAAGAGTAACATAGTAGTACGTGAATGCACAGCCAAGGTTGGGATTGCTATGTGTGAAAGGAACAAACCCTGCTGTGAAAGAAATAAGATAAAAACGATAAAAGAAGACAAAGAGATAAAGAGAAGAAAGAAAACGTGGAAAAACAAAAGCTATAAAAGAAGACAAAGAAAAAAAGAGAAGAAAGAAAACATGGAAAAGTCAAAGTTGGCAGGCTGCAAAATGTGAAAGAAGAATTCGGCCCGATGCCGTCTTCTTCGTATTTACATTCACTGAAACTTTTCTTTCAGCGGACGCTCTGCCTATAAATAGGCATCCCTTCCTCAATTGTAAATCATCCCTCAACTTCTTCTTTCTCTTCAATTAATAAAGAGTTATTCTTTGTGTGGCCATGGAGTACGCAAAAAATGCCGAACCACGTAAATGTTCTATTGTCTTGTCTTGTGCAATTTATTGCTTTTCCTTTTTAAATATTTTTTCCCTTCTATTAGCCTGACACGTTTCCCAACAACTGGAATCAACGCACAGACAGTGTAATTCTAGTAGAAAAGTATGGTATGGGTGCATGTACTATTCACAAGAATAGAGCGGCACTATTGATCATCATTACTAATACTATTCACAATAGTGAAGTACCATTCATTAACAGTGATAGTACTGTTCACCAATAGTGATTGTTGTCTACCTATACGGTTGGGATATTTTTTCTTACACGCGAATAGTATTCGTCATTACTATTCACAGGCATTATTTAACATAATATTTTTGTTGTTGTGAAAAATAGCATCGGAGGAAGGGAAGGTTAAGATTGACAAGTTCAATGGCAAAGATTTTTGATTCTAAAAAATGCAAATAGAGGATTATTTGTACCAGAAAAAATTACACTTACCTCTCACCAAGGCAAAACAAGAGAATATGGCCAAAGCAGATTGGGATCTATTAGATCGCCAAGCTCATGGTGTGATTCGTTTGACGCTAACATGAAATGTGGCGTTTAACATCATTAACAAGAAGACCACTACATGCCTGATGAAGCGTTATCAAATATGCACGAGAAACTGTCTGCTACAAATAAAGTCTATGTGATGCGTCGATTGTTCAACTTAAAGATGACAGAAGGTGGATCCGTCACGAAATATATCAATGAGTTTAATATAATATTAACTCACTTGAGTTATGTTAATATAACATTTGATGACGAAGTCATGGCATTGATTCTACTATCATCTCTACCGAAGAGTTGGTTTGCAACGGTAAATGCAGTTAGCAGTTCATCAAGAAGTACCAAACTCAAATTGAATGATATTAGAGACTTGGTTCTAAGCGAAGATATTCGCCGAAGAAAATCAAATGATTCCCCAGGATCTTTTTTTAATACCGAAAGCAGGAGGAGAAGCAACCAGAGAGGACAAACTCACGGCCGTGGCAGATCAAAGTCAAGGAGAAGAGGGCAATCCAAAATCGCAAGGACATTACTTGTTGGAATTGCGATAACAAGGGTCACTACAGCAGTCAATGTAGAGAACCAAAGAAGAAGAAGGAGGAAAATTCAGCAAATGTAATTGCTGAACAAGTCAGTGATGCACTAATTTATTGTGTAGACAGTCCAGTCGAATCTTGGATTCTGGACTCAGGTGCATCCTTTCACTCTACATCATGCAAAGAATTATTGCACAATTATATTGCTAGAAAATTCCGAAAGGTTTATCTAGCAGACAGTGAACCTTTGGACATTGTTGGAAAATATGAAGTTCATATAAAGACTTTACAAGGCACGCTATGAAAATTGCAAAAATGTCCGACATGTTCCTGGCCTCGAGAAAATCTGATATCTATGGGTCAGATTGATAGTGAATAATATACAATAACATTCGGTAACGGATCGTGGAAGATAACCAAAGGAAATTTGGTTGTGGCACAAGGCTTCAAGAAGGGAACACTGTATACTACTACAATATAGAGAGATACTATAGCAACAATTGATCATGGTCGTGATACAATATTGTGGCACCGGAGGCTCGAGCATATGAGTGAGAAGGGAATGAGGTTGTTGGCATCCAAAGAAAAATTGCCAAACCTAAAGCATGTTGAATTAGGTTTGTGCAAACATTGCATTTACGTGAAATAAAAGAGAGTTAGTTTCTCAAAGGCGGGAAGTACGCCAAAGAAAGAGAAGCTGGAACTAGTGCATACGTATGTGTGGGGACCAGGTCCTGTAACTTCTCTAGGAGGTTCACGCTATTATGTCACCTTTATTGATGATTCCACAAGAAATGTATGAGTTTAAATTCTGAAAAATAAATATGATATGTTTGTTACCTTTAAAAGATGGAAAGCTGAAGTTGAAAATCAGACAAGCCTAAAGTTAAAAATGTCTGAAGTCTGACAATGAAGGAGAGTATGATAGTCAAGAGTTTAAAGCATTCTGCTATGAGAATGGGATCAGAATGTTCAAGACAGTTCCTGGAACACATGAACAAAATGGTGTTGCTGAGAGGATGAACAAAACCCTGAATGAACGAGCCAGAAGTATGAGAATACATTCTAAATTGCCGATGTATTTTTGGGCCGAGGCTGTTAACACGTCAGCTTACCTCATAAACAAGGGACCCTTTGTACCGCTGAATTTTGAAATTCCTAAAGAGGTATGGACAGGAAAGGAGGTAACTCTCTCACATCTAATATTTTTTTTGTTGTGTTGCTTATATGCATGAAAACTCTAATGATAGAGATAAGCTTGATCCTAAAATCAAGAAATGTTTCTTTATTGGCTATGGTGATAATAATTTTGGTTATTGATTTTGGGATGATCTGAATAGAAAGATCCTAAGACACAGGAATGTCACATTTAATGAAAATGTGATGTACAAAGATAAGCTTGAAATAGAACCAACCAGCACCAGCAAACAGACATCTGAAACAGTTGAGTTAGAAGAAATCTCAGAAATTAAGTGGCTAGAGGGATTACAACTGATTCTGAAATTGAAGATGAAGAAGCAGAAGCCGAATCTGGATCAAAACCAGAACCGGAAGCAGAGATAGAATCAGATGCAGAACCAAATCTGGAGTCAGGACTTGAATCAAATTCGGGATCAGTTACTCTTGAACCTACATTAAGGAGATCTAAAAGAGTCACGAATGCTCCAGATAGGTTAACTCTCTCTCCACTATTTACTTCTAACTAATGTTGGAGAACCAGAGCATTTTGAAGCAATGCAGGTGGTAAACTCTAATAAGTGGAAGCTAGCCATGAAAGAAGAGACGAATTCTCTTCAAAAGAATAAAATATAGATACTTACAGAGTTACCAAAAGGAAAGAAGGCATTGCAGAACAAATGGGTGTACATAGTCAAGGAAGAGCATGATGGTAAGAAGAGATACAAAGCACGATTAGTAGCAAAAGGCTTTTAGCAGAAGAAAGGAATTGACTACACCGAGATCTTCTCTCTTGTAGTCAAATTAACTGCTATCAGGTTGGTGCTAAGTATCGTAGCTGCAGAAAATTTGCATTTGGAGCAGCTAGATGTTAAAACTGCTCTCTTGCATGGTGATCTTGAAGAAGACATCTACATGAAGCAACCTGAAGGTTTTGAAGTTTCTGGCAAAGAAAACCTTGTGTGCAAGTTGAAGAAGAGTTTGTATGGTTTGAAACAAGCTTCCCAACAATGGTATAAGAAATTTATTGAATTCATGCATAACAATGATTTCACGCGATGTGAGATAGACTATTGCTGTTATATCAAAATCTTGATGAATCCTATATCATTTTACTGTTGTACGTTCATGATATGCTAATTGCAGGATCTAGCATAAAAGAGATCAACATGGTTAAGCAACAAATGGTGGAGGAGTTGAAATGAATGACTTAGGACCAGCTAAGCAAATGCTTGGGATGAGCAGGTTCAGTCTTCACGATGCAAAGACCAAAAGCTCTCCACTCGGAAGCCATCTTAATCTGTCGAAGGACCAATCACCTAAGACAGATGAAGAAA